TCTGACCACAGGGAGGGACAGCTTCAGGGCAGCGTGATCTGGCACACCAAGCTATGGACTAAGAAGAAAGAACTAAACTCAGCTTGACACTGATTTCTTCCACATCCTGCATGAAACCACAAAAGCAAATCTATGCAAACTCAAGCAGCCACAGCAATTACCTACTGCTCCCATTGACTTGAATTTGTGTTCTCAAGGCATTTCAGTTTTACAGGATCTGCTTCAAAGATCACTGTTGGCAGTGGAAAGACTCCCACTGTTGGCCACATTAATATGGACCATGCCATGCATTTCAGCCTCAGATTTAAACATGCAGTGCAAAAAGAGACTAAGAGTTTCCCAGTACATACATGTTTGCAGCAGTGTGTCTGTACTTCTGTGAGCATGCACATGGGATTTTCCTCTCTAAGTTCAATGTAAAATTGGGAAACACACTGTGCAACATTCCTGTGTCTCCCAGAAACTGGGATAAATAGTGGCAGTGCATGGGAATTTGACTGCAGAACAGTGATATTTGCCCATTTTATTTCCCCACCACATCACCATGAGGTAAGGGTTCCTTGCCTGTGCAGAAATTTACAGGAACTGTCAGAAAGGTTTTTTCAATGAGCTTGGCACTGGCACAGTATTTGAATACAGTTAGGACAGAGACATCAGGAGATGGAACTGGTGCTTGGCAGAACCACTAGGTAGAACAGTTAGAAAATTCTGAATATAGAGATGCTTTGCAGGAGCTCTAAGCTTGGACTTCTGTTGCTGCTTATGAAATTAACAACTGGAATGACATAAGCAATAAATGAGATCCAGGATTTGGGTATTTACTTTCCTAAGTAGGTTTTTCAAAAATGTCAAAGATTCAATCACTCAGCAACATCTTAGAATGTGAACTAGGTGCTTTATTCACAAATGTCCACATAGACTGTATCTAATGCCATACCCCATTATTCTATACTTCTTGCATATTAAACTTATATGACAGGTCCGAGTTTAGGTTGATGACATCATGGAAGAGTAGTCATGTCAATAACATTCTTACAACTTAAAGGAGCAAGATTCATTTTGTATAGGCCACACTTGGTACAAAGGAACTCACTGTTTATATTTTATAGGATTTAAAAATAAAGATATAATGGGTGAAAAGAGACAATGTAACTTTTTTAAAAGGTCTTCTAATAATTTCTACACCTGGTGTATTAAAAAATGTCATAAAGAATCATGTATCTTTAATATTACTGGCCCAGAACTCATTATTTTTTTCCTGGTAAGGGAAAAAAGCTCCTATGGACACCAGGCATAGCTACAGTACCTTTGGGTACACAAATAAGTATACAAAGTTTTGACAGATATATATATATATATATATATATATATATATATATATAAATTCATATATCATACAATCAACCATTAGTAAAGCAGATAGGAACAGTACTCTCATTCCTTACTTTCCTTGCTATTTAAAGAGAAAGATCTTGTTTATTTTTTATGGTACTGTCAACAATAATTTAAGAGCAGTGCTATATTAAGAACACTGCTTTTAACCTTTATTCTCTATACATTTTTCGCTTCATTCAAGTCAATGAGAATTCTATATGTGCAAGAACATCAGAGAAGCACCAGTAAGATGTTATTGTCTAAGCCACTGAAACTCACAGATTAGTTTTGGAAAAAATGTAGGTATGCTATAAAAATGATACTAATGATAAGTGCTGGGGTTTTTATAGGCATAATTATTGCAACAAACAGCTTTTTGCAAATGTAGGCAAACTGGAAATGATGAATCACAATCATAACATTGCTCTTACTTCTGGTAGTTTCTTAAACAGAGAAAAACACTTTCTATTGCTATGTATGACACAAACTACATGGTAAAATAATAGAAGTCTGCTAAATCCCATTTCAATTTTCAAACAGATAGTTGTGGACACAATATTAGACAAATTGCAGATACCTGAGGTACTTAAATACTAAAGGTGACATATGATCATCACTTAAGATCTAAATCTGAACTGATACATGCATTTTCATCAACTTTTACAACAACAGAAAAAGAATGTATCTTTTCAGTGGTAGTAGCAGGCAGAATTAAGGGAGGATATTAAGTCCGAAAGTTGTTACACAATTTCTTTGCTATGCAGAAAAAAGTTAATAAAACACCCCATTTCAAAATGTGTTTCTTATTAGGCAGTTTCATAAAAACAAAAGAAAAACACTGTATGATTTACTGATATTCATTTTGTCCAGATCAGATTAGTTTATCTCTTTTCTCTATCCAGGTTTAAGTACTTTAAAAACACACGGCTACAGCCCGTTTTTTGAATTATTTGCTAAACAACTTTTATTTTTGACAGCATTAGCAAAACCAAGCATCAAAACCTAAGATATTAAGCACTGCATATAATGTTCAAATTAAGAAATCAGTTATTGTCAAAAGCAGTGGTTACAAATGGGGACTTTATGACAAAAGCCTGATCCTGCCATTAGTGTTCCCTTCTTGAGCACAATGTTTTCAAGGTTTTGAACATATCTTGTGTACACAGGGTCATCTTCTTTAGAACTGTCCTCAAACTCGGATTACAAAAGGAAAGTGTGTATGTTCCTGTGAGTGCTTAACTCTGCTTTTTCTCAAGAAAGCACTTGCTGATTAAAACAGAAAGCACTTGCCTGTGTTAGAAGAAATCTCCAGTTAAGCAGAATCAATTTCATATCACCTGTCCCTTAACTAACATAAACAGAAACATGCACACACAGCAGAAGGCACTGACAAGCTCTGCTCTGCGATGCCACATGTACGTGTTGTCGTGCATGTGCAAGGAGGTGAAAAGCACCAGAGAGCAGCCATGAGAAGGACAGGGGAACAGAGGGTCTGTATACTTTTTGTGAAGAAACCGAGAAAACCTGGCTTGGTTAGCTCTACAGAAAGAATGCTGAGAGAGGATATGATTGAATGCTGAGAGAGGATATGATTGCAGTCTATTAATACATCCTGAGATAAACACCAGGGAGGGATAAGAGCTATTTCAGTGGAGGACAATGTTGGCAGGAGAACAAATGACTATAAAGTAGCCGTGAGTTACACTCATCCTAGAAATTGGAAGATTTCTAGTTAGGAGAGGACTGAGGTTCTGGAGTAGCTTCCCACACCAGCAGCAGCAAGGACAAAATACTGAAATGCTTCTCAAGTAAAACCTGATCAGTTTTCAGAAGAGGCCATATGATAAGGCTGTCTGCAACCATAGATCACATGTGGTGAGCGAGCAGATGTTTCCCTGTCCTGTGTTTCTTTACTCATTCCTCCCAAACTCACAGAGTATGCCAGTAGGAAATCTTCCCACTTCCTGGTTCACAGAGAAATTGAAGACTTTACAAATGAAATCTGAAAAAAAATTATACAGGATGTGCAATTTAAGAGAAGTAGTGTTCCTACACAATCCTTAATTGTTCATATCTCCTGGATTTCTGTGTGTGTGTCTTCAATTTTCAACATGTTTAATCCCTAGTGCCTCAAACCATAAAAATACCTATGAAATAAACAATACATAACTGGTCCAACACTGACACATTCACTTGGAACCATCTGTGTGAGTTGCAGCTTGCACATACTGACTGTCAAGAGACTTGTTGCATTCATTTGGTTTCTGACACAGCCTGGCAAAGCACAGCCATCTCCCCCAGTCCAGCAGTTTCTCACTCTGCCACATATTTAGGAGTTGGAGTTTCAGTCCTCTTGCTAAGTAACGTATGCTATTACACGATTCCATCTTTACATTCTTCTGTAACATGCTAAATTAAGTAGATTAAACACTGAAGTATATAAACCAGAGTACTTTTGATCTCCTAGCAAATAAAATTTCATGCTTTTTTCCTACAGAAAATTCTTACTCAACCTAGATCAAAATAAGAACAAGTAAGACTATTTGCAAGTGCCACACCCAAGACTGCAAACATACTTTATCACTTTCACTGTATATCTTTCATTAATTCTAATGAAAGCTCTGGAATTAAAGTTAGTCTATGCATAACAGCAAGAGGAATACACTCAAAGCTCATCTGATGTTAGACTTGATTTCATGCTGACCTTGCTCTGCTGACAGATGTTTTTCTGCCTGTATTTTGTTTATAAATGTCTGACATCCTCAATAGCAAATTAACTGTAGTTAATTTCATGCAGATTAATTCTGCTGAAAGTCACACAATAAGAGGCTAGGAGGTTAAAGTCATAATGAAGTGGATGCTGGTAAAGTCCACATCTGTGTTTTTAGAGTATTGGCAGCATTTTAATTTCCTTGGGATTTCACATAGGATGTTGTTGAAATTGTGGAAGTTTAAGCCAGCAACATAACTGCATCTAGCTGAAACTTGAGAAAATTAAGAAACCTGGTACACTGTGCTTGGGAGCCTCTGGAAAAAAACCCAAATTGTAGATTGGCGAGTGGTTTTAGCGCACACTACTTTATACCTCTTCTTGAAGGAAATATATATTGCCAGCTTTGCCACTACAGAAAAGTTCTAGGAGTCAAAGACCATCACATTTTGTGAACTACAGGAAACTTCTTCTGTAGGACAAAAAAGATTTTGCACCCAAAATACTGGAGCCTGTGTTGCTGCAACACTGATTCATAGTTCTCTTTGAATGCAACAATTTCTTCTCCTTTAGCATATGTAACTTGTCATATTAAGAGCCATTGCCAAACTGACTACACAGAGTGCTGCCAGAAAATTACAGAGTAGCCATTTTTAAAGTTACCAGAATCTACTTAGCCCTATGCCTAGATTAATGTCTTCTGTAATACTTGCAAGGCAAATGAAATAGTGTACTTTGTCCATAAGCATTGTGATAAAGAATATATTAAAAGAACACATGGCTAGCTTGGCACTTTGTCAAGATACTTCTACAGTGCTACTCACTCTAAAGTATTTCAGCCAAATTCTGTGTTGCTAAATCAAGGAATGAGAAAGATCTTGATGCAGATTTTTTCAGGTTATTATATATTACTTACCTGGGGGCAGTCTTTGATGTAGTGTCCCTTGTTAAAGCAGAGGTGGCACAGGTAGTTAGGAGGTGGCCTCTTGCTGGGTTTTCTGGCTTCTGAAGAAAGGGATAGGTCAGAGAAATGCTCAGTGAGAGAGCTTAACCCATCCACAATGTTATTAAGTGAGCCATAAGGTGATGCACTCTTGTAGAGACTGCTGCTCAGAGCCTGCAAAAGAAAACAAATAAGTCACATGCAACACAGTTCTGTATTAAGGATTGTTCTGAGGGAGATCTGAATAGAGGCTAGATAACAATAGCAGGGGAAAAAAGTTATTTTTTTCTTCTTAGGAACACAGCTGCATATTTGAGGGGAGCAATATACAGGTTATAAATAAAGAGGTTTCATGATGGCAGTGCAATGGAGCTGGTCACCCCACTGCTGAGGAAATTATTGAGCTTGCCATGGTTCTCTTAGTCCAACCTTCCCACCAAGCAATGACTGCTTTCTTGTGTTTGACCATAATGCATTCATAGTAGAGTTAGATTATGCAGGCAAAAAGCTGAAAGAACAACTCACAAAACAGAACCCTTTTGTGTCCAAAACTACTTACACAGAGAATACTGAAGTCAGGGAAAGGAAAAGAACACCAAGAAAAATGCAAAGTAACTCCCACTTTCCAATCTGATTAATCAGACAGTCAGCACAGAGGCCCATGTTCAAATAATAAGAAGCACTGAGATCTACATCTGGTTTGGATTTTCCAAGGGAGAACTTGCTGTGATTTAAACATTTCCTGATAAACAGTAAATACCTAGGTTTTGTACTTCACCTCAATAGAATCTTCACTCTCAGAATCTGCAAGCCAAAATCAGTAGCTCCTAATTTGCTATTCAGTAGCTTTAGTACAGCAGGAAACCCATCAACACCTAAATAGGTATTTTCCCTAATGGAGATAACAAGGATTAATTCACTTCAACTGCTTAAGGTCCAAAAGAAACTGCATAATGGAGTTCAAAAAGAAAATTAAAACTCTTTTAAAAATTAACATAATAATGAATTACTCTAGATGGTGTTTCCACCTTAGGTCTGCAATGCTATGCTCATGTAATTCTCCTGGCATCAGAGAATTACTGCTGGCTTATGGAAAAGTGAGATAAGAAGAGGTCCAATCTGTGCCTCTATGCTTTAATTCTATTGAATTAGAATATTTCAATGGGGTCTTTATATGTGTTTTCATATGTTTATACATGTTATATATATTTTGAAGACATGCACTGAAATTGATTTAGAGTTTGTGAAATAAATCTGAAATTGAAATTAAATTAATTTCAGAGATCTCAAACATTCAGGGTGCCTGCAAAGTGAATGCTTTCTGGGTGACAATTGCATACCAAAAAAAATCATATTAAAGCTCTAGCCACAAGTACCTGGGTGAGACCTGACTATCCCTGAGTTCCATCCCACCACAGATGGTGTACACTGCACAGAAAAATGCAGCCTAATAATCTGCTTCACCCACTTGCACTGTAGTCAAACACAACGTACTGAACTCCACTGACCCCTCTTGCAAAGCTGAAGCTGGTGCACAGCAGCAGGATCAATTCAGGAGGTCGCAGAGTGGAATCTGATCTCACATGGGATTTCACATATGCCCTGGGACTAAAACATCCTGTGTAACATAGTTCTGTGCTGTGCAAGATTATGTGGCTGAGAGGAGAATCAGCCACTTTGTTTCAGGGGTTAAAGCCACAGATTTTAAAAGGAAAAGGTATTTCATAAACAAATAAAAAGATTTTAGCTGCTTTAGCCATCAAGCAACCAAAGATACCTCCAACAGTCACTGGAATTTATTTCCAGGATTTATTGGATGCTATTGGAATGAGAAATTCTTGGCATCAAATTTTGAAAAGGAAGGGGAAGTGCTGTGGATGCCAAAATAGTATTAATTAAGGGTCTTCAAGAAGTTCTTGTCTCCCTAGGAGCCACTTTCTCTTATATACACTTGGAAAAACATAAAATCTTTCTTTTTAAGAGATCCTCTTGCCAAGAGATTCTTAAAGTACTTCACCTGCATTACAACCATTAGTAACTTTGCAAGTTCCTTATTATCTGATTTTATAGAAGAGTAAAAGTATGGAAACAGAACGTTTGAAGTCGCAAATTCTTTACCTATTGCCAAAATCTGGAATACCTTCTGGGGGTGCAGAGTAACTCCTGCCCATCAGGATGTTGCTATTTTTGCCCCTGGGGATAACTCAGTAACAAACCAAAACATATCTATCTGCTGCCTACAATGGGCTTTGAATTGGACACATGGCATGCAGCGATGACAGTTTTCTTTCCTACACATCCTTTACCCTGAGCTATTGCCCTCATTAAAAGGGAGCAATTTGGAACCACAGCTGGGTATTATGTAACTCACTCCTCCAACAACCCTTCCTGCCACGTTTCAGGTCAATACTGAAAAACAAGGTGGCTCACTCTGGCAGCAAACCTTCACAAACCTTTGTTTCATCCGTGGCAGCCAGAAGCTGTGTGAGAGGCTAGGATCCTATGGGACTATGGGCTGCACTGATGCTAAATCATACCCTTAGCAGCCACCAATGGTTCTGTGGCCAAAGAGTGGCACACGGCTCTCAAAGAGGCCACCTGGTTCAGCTGGCAAGGCACTTGTGCAATGCATGCCACAGCTGGACATGGCAAAACATTCAGTTCACACATGGCACCGAGAATACTAATATATTATTATAATTATATCATCATCTATAATCCTCTTGAGGCCCAGTGTTAAAAAGGGAAGAAACAAATATAACATCCCAGAACATGACAGTAAAGGAGAAGATGGGCATTGCTGCTGTAACTGGTACTTCGAAGAACAATGCATTGCTTTGGGAAATGCCTAGAGGATCCCAAGGTGCAGCCCATCCCTCTGGGTATAGTCAGGCAAACCGATTCAGCAGTTCCTGCCAATCTGACCTGGAAAATGGGTCTCAAATCTGTTTGACTCAAAGTCAATGTGAAAAACACATCAATCTGGCACTTGAAAGTTGCTATAAAGAGCACCAGCACAAATGGTGCTACATCCTGTTTCTCGCTCTGGAAATCTCTAGCTCTTCAGAGATGAGGAAATAAGCCATTCCCAAAAGCCAAGTTATATAATAAGGGTGGTTAATGGGAAAGTTCATCCCGGCCCCTGGAATCAAATAGTGAAAGCTTAGGGCTTGTAATGAATGTGATGAAATGGTGATTGACTCCATTTTGTCATTGTAAAAGACAAGGGGTGAATAAATATTGCTGAGATACATAAAACAGTTTGGTTTGGTTTTTTTTTTTTTTCTTTCTGAGGCACTCAATTGAGCAGAACAGCAATTCAGCCCTTACTAAGTGTTTGCACTGCTGCAAAGAGGGTTTTTAAGACGGGTTTTGAATAAAAACTTTGAATTAGCTTCACACCAAAAGGGGATGTCCAGGGGGGTGATTAGAGTGCCAGGGAGAGTGTTGATGGCCTCAGACAGAAAATAGAGAGGAAGAAAGAAATGCATTCTGACTCACTCTTGTCTCAAGTGTATTAGTACTCATCTGGGAGCAGGGAGACTGCTCCTCTCATGAATTCCACCAAAAGCAATGACTGCTCTGAGTTCACAATGCAACACCAGCAAAGCCAACCTATTCCTTTAAACGGTAGACAATAGTACCTCTCAAATAGTCTCGTTTTGAGCTTGAACGGGAGAGAAAGGATTTGGCAGTGAAAGGGTTAGTGTTCTCAAGGCGCCTGAAGGACCACACTCCACGTCCTAATTACAAGGCTCATCAGCCCAGCTGCAATGAATTCAGGATTTCCTTATCTTGCCATACCGGGGGGATGGGGAACCTGGTGGTAAAACTTAGAAACTGCCTTAGTGGGAGGTTCAAGCTGATAATGTAAGTTTGTCTGTTTGTTTTTTCCTTCCTGTGAAACTCGTTGATTTAATTGAATGTAGAACCAAACTGAAAATCTTGTATTTTCCAAAAGTAACCTCTCTGCTAGGTAGATCTTGAAACTGTTGGTGGTGATGGGAAGCAAAGTTCCCTTTGTTATTTGTTTGCTCAGTGTTTCCAGTTAAAGGGCACGTAATCTGTAAGGCTGCAGTGTGGTCCTTTGTGAGAGAGGCATCTATTGTCTTCTATAGCTTCCTCACTCTGATTTCCAGTTGGGTAACAAATGTGAGTGACTCAGGAGTTCCAGTATCTAATTCACCTCTAACATATTCCTACTTACATGAATGATTGGCTAATGCTCTTGATTCATTCCCTTGGCTGCATCCCAGCCCTCCAGAAACATCTTTTGGGACTGATGTGTCAAGAGATTGAAAATGGAACCCCGAAACACTGGCCTTATCTCTTTAGTTTCTTTTTTTTGCAACAGTATAATCTTAAGAAGAAAGACAACTGTGGTGAATATGCAATGAAACATTGAAACAAATGAGAGACAAGTCTTACTTGCCAAATTTCCCTTTGGTATGTACAGCTACTGCTTTACATATAAAGGTATTTTTTTAACAGGGCCCAGAAAGCACAAGAACCTCTCAATTATGAATTTATGTCTGAGCATCTACCAGACCAGCTGTTATTAATAAGCAATGGAAAATTGTTTATATGTGAATAGTATCTTCTTATTAGGTATAGATTGGAAAAGAGAGGCATATCTGGAAAAAACAGTTTCTGTTCCAAATTAATTTTGTGGTTGCTGCACCTTTAAGGCAGTGATAAAGATGAACATATCCACCAGTTACATAAAGCTAGAACGATTTGTGCTGGTTGATGGGGGCTGTATCTGGCCAGTGCATCTGTATGATGCTCTAGAAGTTAGTATGACTTGTTGATATTTGTGGATCTCTCCTCATTTGTAGTAATTGCACGTACTGAACTGCACTTCAGTGTTCCTACAACCTAGTCCAGTCATCAATGCTTCCACAACACAAAGTAGTCTATAATTGAAAAATGATCAGCAAAGAATTTTTGATGACTTATTTTTGCATTAGTGTGCTCCTGACCTAATAAAGCAAACAAAAACAAAGCAGTCTTAATGGACAGTTAAGTTTAAGTCAACAGACACCATGGCTGTTTGAAGTTTGTAGGAAAAGAAAGTAGAATTTCCCTGTAATCAGTATGGAAAAAATAACGTTTTCATACATTATAAATGGTAAATATTGTAAGTATTTTCCAGTCTGTATGACAGTAACCAG